GCTTACAGATCACATGACTTCAAACCTTTTTAATATTCGCATATTAGAATTTAAAACAGAATAATTATAACAGAAAGCTGTGACTCTTGGGTTAAGAAGAAAGACGGCACCCAGTTTATATAAATACGTAAAACAAAGCCATCCCTATATATATATCTGTATATATACTATAGATTGCATCATAAAGATACATTAGGTAGGTGTGTATTGGTGTATATATGTGTCGTAATATAAAGTATGGCAATAGTGGACGACAAGGAGAGGCAAGAGCACTTCCAAAAGCAAAGAGCATTCATACTGGATATTAAATAAAACCTTTGAGATAAGAAAGGAAAAAGCCTCAGACAATTATTAAATGATGCATTTTGTACATATATGTAACGAATTATTTAAAAGCAAAAACTTGAAATATATGCGTACATGGCTCTTTTATAATGTGTTAGACTATGTATACTCCATACATACGAATCCCTAAAAATATGGATCAAATTCATAATTTTTGGGAGATTGAGACAGGCATCTCAACCACTAGATTTTATGTTTATTTCTAAGTTTGTTTTATTTGAGTTGGACTCAATTTTTCGAATATATATATATATATATATATATATATATATATATATGAACCATCAGAATAACTGAATAAACATCAAATCATCATTTGAAAAGGAAATCAACGCAATTGAAAATCTAGAAAACTATACTCTAATTATATTCCAAATTTAATGCAGCTAGTAGCAACTAAATATGATAATTAAAAAATATAAGTTAATCTTAATAAGGTGCTTTAAAAATTATAATGATAAATGAGGTAAGAATTATATTTTTCTTTTGAAGTGAATGATCAATTAGATTTTTTTATCGTTTAGAACAATATAGTTAACAAATGAATAAGTTATATCTTCTATTATATATATATATATATATATATATATATATATATATATATATATAACACTCAGTTTATAAATATCAACAATATATTAGGCAATGCCAAGACCCAGGGCTGTCTAATAGGGTGTGTAGTAGGGGTGGGCACGGATCGGATATCCGGGATTTTTGAGATATCCGTATCCGTATCCGATCCGCACAAATATTCGATTTTGTTATCTGTATCCGATCTGTAATTTTCGGATATTTGCAATTTCGGATATTCGTAAAAATCACGGATATTTGCGGATATCCGTATCCGACCTAAAATATTATAAAATTTTAAATTTAAATTAAATAATAAATTCAAATGTAAATAAAATATATAATCTATTTAAGATAAATGATATTCACAAATTTAAAATTCATAATTTAAACATTCCAAATCAACTCAAATACAAATATAATTATAATTTATCACATACAAATATATTCAAAATTCAAAATTCAAAACATTAAACATAATAAATCTTAATATTCAAAAGATTAAAATTATAAACCTCAATATATATAAAATTTTTTTTGAATCACCCTTAAAAACGTGTAAATATTAAGAATTTTAAATCTCCATATGAAATTATTCTTATATTTAATAATATTATTACAAAATATGGATCGAATCGGATATGTCGGATAATTCAATTTTAATATCCGTATCCGATCCGTATCCGACAAATATCTCTAAAGAAATATCCGTATCCGATCCGTAAACTCCGGATATCCGAATTTTCGGTTCGGATATGAATCGAATAACGGATCGGTTCGGATTTTTCGGATATTTTGCCCACCCCTAGTGTGCAGGTGGTGCCATGGCACAGGACCCCAATTTTATAGGGTCTAATTTTTCTCAAAAAAATTAATTTAAAATTTTGATAATTATATAGGTTTTAAATAAAAAGATAAATTGTAAAAGAAAAAATATAAAAAAAGTTTAAATCTGATTAAATTACCATTAAATTACGGTAGATTTGTTTTATTTTATAGTAACCTTAAATTTTTTGAAAAAATTGAAACAGAATAAAAATATAATTTGATAACAAATATAAATAATTTTTAATCAATATATATTTTAGAAAAACATTAAACAAATTAGTATATAAGAATATTTCAATCAAAAAAATTATAAACAAAGTTAATTTTAATTTTTTTATTAGTATATAAGATTATTTCAATAAAAAAATTATAAAATAAATTAATTTTAATTTATATATATATATAAATCCTTTATATATATTGAACAGATCTCTTGTAACTTTGAGACGGTCCTGCCAGGACCTCAAATAGATATATTTAAAAAAAAGAGTCTAAACTTGTGAGGAACTAATAATTTGAATATATATATATATGCAAAGTTTGTAATGAATACAACATCTAGCTATTTAAGATTCGTTGTCAATTTATCAAAAGTAAGTAAATGTAGATGTCACACGCGGTTATTAATTATTTTTTGTAATGTTTGAATATGAAAGAACTCCGGAACTATGAATTAGCATGTCACTGATGATGTCAATAAACACATGTCTTATACATGCATATGCAAGTACAAGATGTGTATAGGCATGGTCGGATATAAATCTTAAAAATCAAATTAAAAAAAATATTAAAATATAGGGGCGTAATTATAATAATGAAAACAAAAATAACATTTAAAAGAGAGAGAGAGAGAGCGGAAAATAGGGAAAATGCTGGGAAAGTGGAGACAAAAGACTGACACTTTCATCTCACGCTTGCTCCAAAACATATACCAACTTCTCCACTCTCCTCTCTTCACCTTCACACTCACGTACGTACATACGTATACATACACATGTACGGCGTACATAGAGAAATACGTATATATTTATATGTATACAGTCATACAGAACCTTGCATGCATTATACGCATGCATATATCATATATATAGTGCATCAAGACTCAAGAGACATGCCACTCTGTAATGTTCCTTCGAATCTTCAATCTCAAGATTCTGCGTTGGGACTAATTTGATGTTTTCTATTACTTTTGGTCGGAAATTAATACACATTAACGAAACTTATAATTAGTTTCCTAATTTCTCTTTTCTGTGGTTTTTGGTCGGTTGCTTCGAGTTTTCTCTTCCCATGTCCAACGGTAAATTGGTAATAATGAATCTGTCTCGTGTGCCAATATGATTTGGTTTACATATTTTCAGAATAATTAATCCCTAATTCACTTACATGAATAAATATTTCTATTTTAATATGATGGAAATATGTTAAAACTACCGGATATTTAAACCCTACACATGGGTTTTGCTTCTTTTTTTTTAAGTGTGTATATATATATATATATAATCATAATGATATATTTAATTTTATTAATCTTGACCAACTTTTCAATGATTACAAAATTTTATAATGTAGAAGGTTAGACTTTGTGACACTACAACGACAAAAGCAGAGCTAATTATTAGCATTTTATTAAGTCTATAGCCACTCCTAATCTCTCACTATATTGTTGTGGCTTTTGTAAATTAAAAGGTTTTTGTAATAAGTGGCTCGGATATAGATTAATAATTTGATTTCTTATCTAATTTTACATATGATATATACTTTATATATGTTTACATGTATTCGAACATATGATTTACACAGATTGAAATTAATTTTCATAATGCGGTCTGATCAGATAACAAGATATAGAACAATTTGTAAATGGATGAGAAATTTGTCCTAATTAATCCCTACCACTAATTCAAGAAGAATATTGCTATTAACACAAAAAGACAACCAATGTAAGATTAACTCCATTTAATTTGATACGAGGTCTCTTGTTTCTCGGGCTAATTATATACATAAACAGTTTCTTAATATTCAATTGTTTTACATAACAATCTGATTTGCCCCAATTTTAATGGTCTAATAGTAAGACAAAACGCAAAGCATATTTACCCCGAACTCAAAGTCAAACGTGGTAAAGGCCATTTACCTGAATTTTTCGATATTCTAAGAGATGTAGTTGAGACAAAAGTTTAATGAACTTCCATATTACCACAAAAAAAATCTAATTCGTTTATCCATTCGATTAATTCATACATTGATTTCTCGTAAAACACACAATAAAAAGAGTTACAATATTCATTGATCGGAGATATAGGATACGAAATGAATTTGGACCGACGAAACACAGATATTGTTTGAAGACGATAATATATGGATAATACTTAAGAGAATTCGGATCGAATATAGACCATTTGTACATAGAACTATACATGTAGGGAACAAGACTGATTTTTATCGTTGAAATTTTTGCATGCTCTTTTTATTTTTATTTTTGTGTATATGCTTGCACATAGGATTAACCTTTCCCCGTATGCATAAAGATAGAGGTACATGGAACATACATACGTATATACATACACACGTACACATGTTATATAATATAGAGTAGGCTGTAGCCTAAGTCCCCGTGATAAGATCGTAGGGTTTGCATGATCGTAGAGGTAATCCGTCTTTTTATTTCACCTAACTCTAATGTGCGAGACAGATCACAATTAATCTTCCTACTATACGTATTACGTACCAACCATACAAATATAAGAGTAAGATACAATATATACACATATACAATACACACGTTATATATATATATATCTTTCTTCTTTAAATTAGAAATATTTTTCAACATCTTACTTTACCAAAATTTGGATATACATACTTGTATTATTTTTAGAATTCGAACGACTTAAGCCCAACCCACTGCAATATAAATTTGTAAACTATATTATATGTCACGGAGATGGACATGTAATAGCATATTCAAATATATAACCAAGAGTCTTTTTTGTGAAAGTATATGTTGTTTTATAATATACAATACGTGTTATTTGTAACTTCCCTCGAGAAAGGTCAATTTCTTATAATTAAAAGAAATATTAGTGTCTAACCAATCATTCGTATGCATTACACCTTGATTAGATTAAATCAACAATAAAATAAAATAAAACCCTAAAAACCAAGTGAAGAGACACATAGAATGGCTCCTTGGCTTATGATTAAGCCCCTTTATTCTCCCCTTATATACCCTCATGTAACCACGCCCACACATTGCATTCAAGAAGACACATAACCAAATCCAATACACACACATTTACATTTCTTGTCTTGCTCCAAAATCACAACACTCTCATTCGACAATGGCTGACGAAAACGATGCCATCATCGAGAATTCGAGTTCAGAGATGGACATCGTCCGAAAGCTTCACGTCTATCCTGAACTTCAACATCCCGAGAAGACACTGAGTCTGTCCAATTTGGACCGCCAGTGCCCGTTGCTTATGTACTTAGTGTTCTTCTACAAGTCCGACAAAACTCGTAACGTTTCTAGCGAATCGGTTTTCTCCAATCTAAGACTCGGATTGGAGCAAACCCTTTCTGTGTGGTACCCTGCAGCTGGTAGGTTGTGTTTGGACCCAAAAGACATGAAGCTCAATCTATGGTGCAACAATGGCGGCGCTGTGATGGTGGAGGCGGCGACACGTGTTGAAATGTCGGAGCTCGGAGACTTGTTTCAGTATAATGAGTTCTCCGAGACTTTGGTTTATAAGCCTCCTTTCAATGGAGATTTCCCTGAAGTGCCTCTTGTTGTTGCTCAGGTAACCAAATATACGAATACGTATGTCAGTATGTGTGTATGTATATATATAATATATCTTACCAAATATTTTCATTTCTCCCTTTCTTATATATATATAATGATCTCGTGGCGTATTGATAATATATTGAAGGTGACGAGATTTGCATGTGGAGGGTACTCAATTGGAATAGGCACGAGCCACTCAGTGTTCGATGGGCTCTCAGCTTATGAGTTTCTTCATGCATGGGCTTCTAATTCTTATATTCACAATATCACAAATAATGGTAACAGCAACAATGACAATAATAATAATAATAACAATGAAGATGATCAAGCAATGATGATCGAGCCGGTTCATGAGAGAGGCAATTTGCTAACTACCACGAACCCGAAACCCGGAACGAGAGCTGCAGCCATTGACCATCTGTATCAGCTGATAAAGCAGATGATGACCGAGCAGATGGCGATGGTGAACGGAGGGCAAAACGGTCATTTCGAGGATCCGAGCTCGGGGTTTCTGATCAAGACCTTTGAGGTTAGTGGTGAAGCAGTAGAGAGGATGAAGAAGAGAGCGATGGGTGGAGATGGGAAATTACCAAAAGGGTTCTCTTGCTCTTCCTTTGAGCTTCTTGCTGCTCATCTGTGGAAGGTAAATAAATCTCAAAAAAGTTTTTTTTTTTATTTTCCTTTTTTTAATCACGCAAATTCATAATCTTTTAGATACGGTTATTAATTAAAAAATTTCACGTTGGAGGAGTAGAGTCGACTAATAGGACATCATGTTGACAAAATATATGAACCTTTGGAAATCTAGACCCTAAAATCAAAACATTATATTCTTGTAAAATTAAATTTTCTTTTCAATTCTACATTCTTTTAAAAGGTTATATACACATACACGACTTATTATATATACACCATTATTGAACTATACACATACATATATCTATCGAATCAAGAAAAATATTATAAAAAATATATTGAACTATCCTCATGTTATTATAATTCGGATTTTAGTATTTAGGTCTATATATAAAAAAATAAGGGTTTTTCTTTTCAAATCCATCATCTTATATTTCTCTCTAACACAAACTAAAAAAAAACAATAACTATTTATCTTATACAAAATAACATTTTACTTTGAATTTGTTATAAAAATACATCAACTATTATTTTTGAACAAAAAACCATCAAATATCTAACTTCTTAAAAATACTCTTTTATTTTAAATTAATTTTAAAAATCCATTAACTTTTAATTTTAAAAAAAATAAATCATATTTTTCTTTTATTTTTAAAATTATATAATATTTCTTGAATAATAAATTATCTATAAATTATACACTATATAATAGTTACTATTTTTTTTATAAAAAATCAAATTAATATTTATGATATTTCGAATATTAATATATTAAAAAAATTTGAGTCTAAAATTTACAATCTATAAAATAAACTTACTTTTTAATATAAAATTTGTGGACAAATTTATTATATAAAAGATGATGTTTATAAATTACACAATTTTAAATATCATAATAAAAACCTAAATATTTATATATACTCTAAGCATCACAATATGATATGTTTATATAAATATTTAGTTTTCTATTGTGATACCTAGAATTGTATAATATTTTATATATATTGATAAAAAAAATATATTTTTTTTTGACAAATTTAAAGCAGAATAGTTTTTAAATATTTTAGGCAGTTTATGATCTTTTTTTTTTGTAAAAACTAATAGTTGATGTATTTTTTTGTAATAAATTTAAAATGAAAGATGGTTTTTGAATAAGTTATATAGTTCACATTTTTTTTTCAAAATTAATAGTTGATAAAATTTTATAATTAATAACTTTAAAGTATAAGATTTTTTGTGTAAGTAATATAGTTGATGATTTTTATTTAGTTTTTCCGTTCTCTTTATTTTTATTTGTTTTCCCATTTTATGTAATCATTTCATCACTAAAAATTGAAAATAAATGTGGCAATAATAACAAAATCAAACATTTCAGGTGAGAACAAGGGCTCTAGGGTTGAGAAGCGACGCCATGGTATGCTTACAATTCGCTGTGGACATAAGGAAGAGGGCGGAGCCGCCGTTGCCGGAATATTTTTCCGGCAATGCGTACGTTCTCGCCTCCGTCGCATCCACCGCCGGAGAATTACTTAACTTAACCATTGAATCGATAGTTCACAAAACCAGAGAAGCCAAGAACTCAGTTGACCAAGACTACATCAACGCCTACGTGGAAGCATTGGGGCAAGGGCGAAATGACGCAAATCTCCCTCCGATCAAGGAACTGACCATAGTCTCCGACTGGACAAAAATGCCATTTCACAAGGTCGGGTTCATCGCCGGCGAACCGGCGGATTACGTGTCACCTCTGTGTCCGCCGGTGCCACAAGTCGCATATTTCATGCAGAGCCCTAAGGATCCTAAGGGACTTCACGTGAGGATTGGTTTGAACCCGCAAAATGTCGATGATTTCTCTAATCATTTCCTCAATTACAATCATTAGGGTGATTATTATACACATATATGTAATCGTCACTATATATTAGTTATGTAGTTAATCTTTTCTTTATTATTTGCTTTTTTTTTAAAATTTTCAGATTGATTTTTGTTTAATATTATATATAAATGGGTCGAGTGGTGTGTGTACGATAGGGCACTCAATATGAATAAATGTATCAAAATGGAAGGGTTATATGATTATGTGATTGGTCATTGATGAATGCTTTGTGACATGTGTTCATTATTTTCCCCCATCGCTTTATTAAGAATATCTAACCCTTTTTTATAGGTCGGAATTTATGGATTGATATAACTATATATCTCTATAAATTTCAGTTTTTTCTTCGTCCATATATCAAAACTATTTAATAAGAATATAATTTTTGTCACTATAAAAAATTTCTTGGTTTCTCTCCTTTTTTTGGCAAAAGAATGTTGCCACGAAAATGCTTTCGCTTTTAAAAAGATACATAGACGAAATTATATATATATATATATAGTTTTCTGCTGATAATGATAATTAATTTTTAGGGATGCACCTAAATTTTAGTGTTTACAATTTTTATAAAATATAAATTGTTAAACAATAAAAATTTAAACTTCTATATGTTTATATATATATATATATATAAACATATATGTAACTATATTGTTCTATCCAAATGATAAATTCTTATATGAATATATAGAACAATAAGTCGCTAAAGGCAAATATGATTTTGAGAGATTAAGATGTAAACGAAACTAGTATTTGTAGTTAAGTAGGACCAATATATAAGAAGTCGATTGTGATGTAAAGATTTTGATTCCTTCAAGAAAAGAATGAAACTATTGGAATAAAACCTAAAATAGAAGACTTTCACCCTTGTAGTAATATTATAAAATATTATTATATTTCATTACAAGGATTATACACTGAAGTATACATCAAAGATGAAAAGTGCACAATTTTTGGTGATGAAGTTGATGTTCGGGTGTCAAAATGGGTCCGTCCATATTTTTCTGAATCGAGTTCAAAAATTTTGAGTCCGAAAAAAAAAATGTTGAACGACTAAGTTCGACACGAGGTGTAGGACTAATATATTTTTTTTAATATGTCATAACCGAACCGAACCGAATAAATCAATATAATTTAACCGTTTGATTATAATTTTATTATACAAAAATCGAACCGAACCAAACCGAAATCGAATCGAACCGATCAAATCTATATAATCATTTGGGTATGATTTCTTTGTAACCGGAATAACCGAATCGAAACCCGAAATGGCCGGCCACCCATAGTTGATACTACTAAACTAAACCTATCTTTTTCTACAGCTCCAAAACATATTTGATGTTAATTTTTTTTTTTGCTGAAATCTATAAATAGATATATAATATGAATTTTTAGTTAAAACTAATAAATAATCCTTTTCTTTATCCCCTCTTGAAAATACATGAAAATATGAAAGTTATGCAAGTCATATACGTAAATCGCTAGGCTTGTATTATAGACAACTAAAGTGGGCTTCGGCTTTTACGGAAGAAATAAGCCAGAAAAAGTTATAGAGGACAAAAGACTTTGTGGCAAAACAAAAAAGGCAGAGACAAAGCTAAATAAAAAAAGAGGCATCGATTATTTATTATCCTTCCCCCCCTTTTTTTTTTGGAGTTTTTGATTCCTAAGTGGCTAGAAGCAAGTGGCAAGTGAAACAGAACAAGAGTGTTACAGTTCTTCTCATTACACTGAACTGAAGAGAGTTTAAGGGGAGAAAACAAGGACAAGAAGCCATCACAGTTTGATGTCTGAACAGAACAAAAGCACTAGCGCTTCTCATAAGCACGTCCTGAGGGGGCTGAACCCCCCGAACCCGAGATCTCCTCCCGTTAAATCCGCCTGGTTCTGTTCCTGTTACAGCAAGAAATGCCGTCTTTCACTCACAGGGGATGTAACGCAAGTTTAACTGATTCGTTTATTGAAAAAAGTTTCGGTTTCTCTTCATCTTTTCACTAAATGACTTGGTGGGTTTTGTGCATCTCTTGCAAAAATGTTAGTAGGAACTACAGAAATGGCTCGAAAGGAAATCATAGAACACCGAACTGGAGAAACTTTATCATACCTGTTTCATCGTGGAATTGACTATGTCATCTAAGCAGCCAGCATTCGCAGCCATGAAACCGCTCTGGAACTTCTGTTGGCCCATGAGGAATCCTTCCTTTGTGTTGTTACACAACAAAGCATCTGTTGTTGGACCCAGAATGTCAGGTTGCTTCATATGCAAGGAGGGATCAAAAAGATCTGCCTGAATGCTTGAATCAAAATCTGTGTTTCTGCAGAGACCTATGGAATTTGGCTCTGAGGACTGGCTGAGTGAAGCAGAGGAGTGGCAGAAAGGGATCAGATAGTTCAGTGAGCCGTTGTTCTGTGTGTTCCACCCTTGAGTGTTGGCTTTAGAATGCTGCAGGTGAACAGGATGACCAGAAGAAGATAATGGAGAAACATCAAACTGATTAGCATTGTTTCCATTCTGAGAGGGCATGGGCACTGTTGAAACACAATTCTTGTCGATGTTTGCAGAAGGAAGGATTGATGAGACAGCGCTTGGCCAATGTTCCAGACGCCTATTGATCTGGTCTCCCGAGATGTGAGGCGAAAAACCTGAATTTAATGATGTTCCTGTAGGAGGTGGCTGTTGTTGTGGGTGACCCTCAAGAACTAAGAGGTTATTAGGGTTGCCGCTGATAAGAGGGCCTTGTGTA